AAACCCCCTCAGGAAGGGGGGGGAGCCAGGGACCCCCCCAGTTAGCACATGCCCCCCCCCCGGTTCTGGCTTCTGTGCAGCCAGTCTGGCTCCTTGACCTCTGTCCACTGTCCCCTCAGGCCTCAGTGACCCCGCACCCCCTTCAGCCCCGAGCTTGGAAGGCGCCGGGTGGAACAGCTTCCAGGTAGGAGGGGCTGGGAACTAGCCTAGCCTGTCCAGTCGGGCAGGGCACCTGGGACAAGCAGCCTGGCAGAACAGCGGAGGGGCAGACGGCTGTGGAGGTGGCCTTGGGACTGAGGCACCATAAGGGAGGAAGAGAGCCAGTGGTGCTTTTCCCATGGGGCTCCCTGGGGCTGCAGCCCGGCCTTGGGGGTGTAGGTGGGGTTCCCACTTCCTTTCTCTTGAGGGGCATTCTGGGTCCCTGGAATGTAGAACTCCGCTCAGGCCTAGCCACCGTGCATCATGGATGTCACCTGCAGAAAGGGGGCGGCCCTCAGGGTGGCCCTGACACCTCAGATAGCCCTCCTGCATTCTTTGTCCCAGTCGTCAGATGGTGCTGAGCCCCCAAGCCCTGCTCCAGCCCCCAGTGTGGACAGCCGGCCCCCCGCACAGGTAGCCCTACCAGCCAGCAGCGGTCTCGCCGACCTGGACCTCCTGGGGAAGACCCTCCTGCAGCAGTCGCTGCCCCCGGAGTCACAGCAAGTGCGGTGGTGAGGACCCTCTTGGTGGCATGGGTGGGGAGCCAGCAGCTACTCCTGGGACATGGCAGGTTCCGGGGCAGGCTCCGCACCTGTCCTCCACAGGCCAGGGTTCAGAGGAGAGGGGACTGCTTGAACCCCATTACACAATCCCCCCCCCCGCATTCCCACACCTTGGAGAGGGCCAGCTGTGGGGAGGACATGGAGCTGCCCTCTGTGAAGGTCTGGGGACCTGAGGCCAGAGAGAGCGACAGGTCAGGGCCTGAGCCGGCAAGTCCAGCCTCCTGTGCCCCCATCTCCCAGCCCCAGAGCCACTTGTTAACACACTGCCCCCCACAAGGGAGAAGCAGCTGCCGGCTCCCCGCCTCACACTCCGGGACCTGCAGAACAAGAGCAGCTGCAGCTCCCCCAGCAGCGGAGCCAGCAGCCTCCTGCACGCCGTGTGCCCGGAGCCCCCCGGGCCCCCACAGCAGCCCACGCCCATGGAGCTCTCGCTGGCCAACATCACTGTGCCCCTGGAGTCCATCAGACCCAGTAAGCAGGGCTGAGCTGGGCGGGGCGGGTAGCGCGGCCCCTGGCAGGAGCTCCAGCTGGGCAGCAGGTGGGCAGGTGGGGCCTGCCCCTCCCAGGACTGTTTCCTCATCTGCCCCGTAGCGGTCACAGAACTACTTGGTAAGCTCCAGGGTTATGCAGGCAAGAGGGCTTCTTAGGGTCAGACCTAGGGCCCCCGCGGTTCTCACAGTGGTAAGACAGGACACTCGTTCAGGGTCTTCCCAAGACTACAAAACCAAACCGTGACAAAGTCCTGGGACTTTCCCGGCCCTGGGGGAGCAGCAGGCCCTGAGCAGACGGTTGAACGGCCAGTCCTCCAGGTACTGTCCACCTGAGCTCACTGGGACAAGGGTGTCACGCCCCGAGTGCCTGATGGGCCACAATGAGAGCACGCCCCAGACTCAGCCCATGTCATACGACATGCCAAGCAGCAGCCACACAGCCTGAGCACCCAGCTGCGCCTTGCCCAGGATGGGCATGCTGCCTCCACCATCAGACGAGGCTCACCTGCCCTCCAGACGTCCGTACCCAACTGCGCTGCCTCCCAGGGTCCTGGCAGTGCAGCGAGCACCTGATGTGGGCTGGGCTGGGGTGTGCTTGGGACAGACCCGTTGCCTGCCCTCCTCCTCCCCACCAGGCAGCATTTTGCCCGTGACTGTGTATGACCAGCATGGCTTCCGCGTCCTTTTCCACTTCGCCCGAGACCCGCTGCCGGGACGCTCCGACCTGCTGGTGGTGGTGGTTTCCATGCTGAGCACCGCCCCCCAGCCCATCCGCAACATTGTTTTCCAGTCAGCTGTCCCCAAGGTAATGGGCAGGGCAAGGTGGCCTCAGGTTCTGGGGAGCCAGCTGTCCAGGGGCAAGGGGCAGGGTCTTCCTCCCTTGCTGGGGGATGGGAGTAGAGGGGCACAAAGAACGGAGCCCCAGGAGCACCGGAGGGCAGCTGGCATCTGGGCCTGGTGCCTCGGGGAACGTGGAGAGCAGCAGGCCCAGCTGCACCCGTCCTGCCCTGCCATCTCCAGGTCATGAAGGTGAAGCTTCAGCCCCCCTCGGGCACAGAGCTGCCAGCGTTTAACCCTATCGTCCACCCCTCAGCCATCACCCAGGTCCTGCTCCTTGCCAACCCCCAGAAGGTGAGGGACGTAGCCGTACCCGGGCGGTGCTGTGGGGGACACAGCCCCTTCTCCCCTCTGACCCTCTCTGCCTTCTCCGTCCCTGCCCAGGAGAAGGTCCGCCTCCGCTACAAGCTCACCTTCACCATGGGCGACCAGACCTACAACGAGATGGGGGATGTGGACCAGTTCCCCCCGCCCGAAACCTGGGGGAGCCTCTAGAACAGAGAGGGGCTGGGAGAGGAGAGGTCTGGGGAGGAAAGGAGCTGGTATCCGGCCTGGGCTTAGGCTCTGGTGGCCCCCAAGGGTGTCCCCTTGTTCCCCGTGGCCATATACCCCCAGGCCTGGTGCTTCTTCCCTCACCCCTGTGGCCCCCAAGTGACTCTCCTCCCTGCCGTGTCCCCCTCCTGGGCTGAGGCAAATCCAGCAGGAGGCTGGGCCAGGGTTTGCAGTGCTGGGACCCTCGTTAGGGAGCCCAGAGCAGGGCAGGGTTGCACGGCCCCAGAAAGGACCTAGGGGTTGTGGAAGAAGCGTGGCTGTCGGGAAAGCCAGATCTCAGGCCCACCCTGAGCCCAGCCTGGGTGGGGTCTTCCCCGCCTGTCTCTTATGCCTTATGGGAAGGCCCAGCCATAACTTGGGGAGCTATGCTGGAACTGGGGACCAGCTCAGACCTCCTCCATAGGACCAGTGACTGTGGGGTGGCACAGGCACCCCGGCCGTTTGCACTCGAGTGTGGTTGGACTCTGCTTTTCTTTCGGAGTGGCCCGATGGTCACAGTCTCAGGGGGCTGAGTTGGGAGAGCCCAGCCTGGCTCCACCTCCTGGGGTCTCCCTTTGCCATCACGCCTCCTGGGGCTGTGGGGTGTGAGGGTGATGCCAGAAGCGGGGGGCATAGGGCTCGTGGAGTTCTGTGTCTCTGTCATTCACTGGCCCCTGCAGGGGCCCCCTGTGGGCATCTCCCATCTGTCCATCCATCTTCTGTGGTCAGAAGCGGGGTCGGTGTGTGAGTGAGAGCTGGAGTATTTATGGAAATAAAGCGTCCTTTTCCTGGACCAGAGGCTCTCATGCCCTTCTGAGGTGGAGGGAGACAGGCAGGGTTTGGGAGTGGGGTCCCCCAGACTGCCCTGCAGACTTCTCTGCCTCCATCTTTGGATTGGGGCCATGGTTCCTCTCTCCACTGCTCCCAGCCCTGCACCAGAAGAGGCCCAGGGCCCCAGCTGCTGCTGACACCCAGGGAGGCTCCTGGCCACTCAGCTTGCTCTGCTGTGCCCAGCCCCCAGGACAGCACAACGCTGCACCGCCCTCCAGGCGGTGCCCAGCTTCTCCCTCTTCCTGATGTCCTGGTTGCCCCCAGGAAGCTGGCCAGCAATCACAGCTTGATTCAGGACCAGCCACAGACCCCAAGCTGGGTCCCCTGCTACTCCCAGCTGGACTCACCCCACCCTGGGTGAGCGTTTTCTGCAGCTGGGAGGCTGGGGTCCAGTCCAGAGGGCTGAGAGCTGCACAGCCAGCCAGGCAAGCCCACCAGTGCCCGTGGGGGTGGGGGTAGGGCTCGGTGCTAGTGGAAGGCCAGGCCTACACGCTGCTCTGCGGGAGCTGCTCTGCAGGGAAGGAGTCCTTGCTTGCTCAGGGGAGCCAGGAAGGTGCCCGCCATTACTGAACAGATGAGCTCATGGAGACCCCAGGGAGTCCTGCATTTGAGAAACCATTTTTACTTGGTCCAATCGTGTTTCCCAATCTGAATTTGGCCACTGAACCCCTTTGCATAGAGACTGCGGAGACATGCTGGAGACTGTCCCAGCTTGCCCCACCCCCCTGCATCTGGTCCACTCTGCGGCTGAAGAGGAACCCCCTCTATGCCAGGCCAACTCGGAAAGGGCAAGGTAGAGGATGAGCGGCAGCCCCCAAGCCCCCTAGCAGATAACCTGCAGTGACTGGACCTGACGCCCACCCTGTATAGACTCTGCTCCCCCTCCCCCAGCCGCATGGCCTCATCCTGTCTTCCCCACCAGGGACTCCCCTGAGCACTTGTATCTCCCCAGACAGTCTGTGGTTGAAAGGTGCTTCAGAGACCAAAGCCGCCGACCCCC